TTTTAAGGCAGGGCTGCATGACAGAGGGGCATGGCAGAGGAATCAGTTCATGGCATGGCAGGCAGGAAGCAATGTGCTTCCTTCTTTCCTTTTCTATTCCATCCAGGCCACAAACCTATTTTTTGGTGCCACCCACTCCCAGGGTGGGTCTTCCCTCTTCAGGAAGTCCATCATCCACACCAAGAACTATGCTAAACCAATCAGTGAACTGATCCACTATCACGCCCATGATCCAGTCACTCCCCAAAGCCCCAATTATGAGCATGTGTGGCTTGGGAGGGGGGACATCTAGGTAAATATAAGCCATTATAATAGTTTTGCAGGACATAATAGTTTTGCATGGCTTGGAAATTGTTTGCGTTTAGGGTTTGAAACATTTTACTCCAAGTTCTCCTGGCCTTTAAATTTTGGGCTGAGAAGTCTGCTGTGATTCTAATGGGTTTTCCTTTATAAATGATTTGTTGCTTTTCGTAACTGCTTTCTCTTGTTGTTTTTAAAGTATCTCTCATTTATTGGTCACTGACAATAGCCTTGTCTTCTAGTTCAGAGACTGTCTCACTGGTCACTCATGCAGCCCATACTTTCAATATAATTCTTAATATCCTGAATTTCTCTTTGGAGCCCTTTCAGGGACTTAATTCTTTTCTGCTGGACATGCATTTTTTGCATCATTTCATTTAGCTTTTCTATCTTTTTATAAGCATCTTCTTTAGACTTGCTGATCCTTTTGCTTAATTGGCCCTGTATCTTATTACTTATACCTTTTTTGAGTTTGCCAAATGTGTTATTGAACTGTTTGGTTATCTCCCTTGATACCATTTTGAATAACTGAAGTATGAAGCTTTTCGTTTCCTCCCCTTTGATTCCCCATGGATCAGCTTTGGCAGAGTTGAGAGTTTTTGGAAGCATTTTGTTGGATTGTCTTCCCCTGTTTGATCGCCTCCGGGTGGGACACCACCCTCTGGCTCAGGCCAGTCTCTCACGTGAGGTTGGGCATCCCTCCCGGTCCACGCTTTCAGCGCTCTGGGCTCTCTCTGTGGGGGATGGCGCTGCTCCTGTGGTGTGGATCTGCCCTCTCTAGATCCTTTGTATTTTTGTGGTATCAGTTGTAATGTCTCCTTTTCATATTTGATTTTGTTTACTTGGATCTTATCTCTTTCATTGGCTAGGTTAATACAACATTTTTTTAAAATTTTGTTTCTCTTTTCAAAACCCTATTTGTTTCATTGATCTTTTAGGTAAAGTTTTTATTTTATTTATTGTGGTGTGGTGTTTATTATTTCCTCTCTTTTAAATTTGGGTTTTGGTTTATTCTTGCTTTTCTAAGTCCTGAGATGCACTGGGAGGTCTTTTCTTCGGCATCTTCCCCCTTTTTATATGTGCATTTAATGTTATAAACTTTCCCCCTAGTGCTGCTTTTGCTGTAGCCCACAGATTTTGTTATGTTGTACTTTCACTTTCATTTGTTTCAATAGTCTCATTTTTTTCTCTTTTAATTTCTTCCATTACCATTGGTTGTTTAGGAGCATATTAAATTTCTATGCATTTGTACATTTTCTTTTATTTTTGTTGCTTTGTAGTTTTATTCTATGTGGTAGTCTGCCATATATATGATTTCAATTTTTTAAAAAATTTATTGACACTTGAGTTTTTTCCCAAAATATGTTCCGTCTTGGAGAGTGCCCCATGTGCTGATGATAAGACTGTGTATTCTGTAGCTGTTGGATGAATTGTTCTAAATGATAGGTCCATTCACTCTATAGTATTGTTCACTTCAAATATTTACTAATTATCTGAGTGACCTGTCCATGGAGGGAAGTGTGGTGTTGAATTCCCCCATTATTTTTATACTAGAGTCTATCCCTTTAGATCTAATAATAATTGCTTTGTATATTTGGGTGTTTTAGTGCTGGGTACATATATATTTATAATTGGTATATCATCCTGTTAAATTGATCCTCTTATCAATCAATGATGAGCTTCTTTACTCATTTTTACAGTTTTTTAAATTTAAAGACGGCTTTATCTGGCTGGGTATGTTGTATGTCTGCAATCCCAGCACTTGGGAGGTACAGGCAGGAGGCTTACCCAAGTTTGCGGCTAGCTTGGGCTCCATAGTGAATTCAAGGCCAGCCTGAACTACATAGTGAGATCTTGATCTCACAGGGCATGTGCAGATGATGTTGAGGCTTGTGAAACCTGACATCTACATTTCTGGAGGTAAAAGACATTGAGAAGATCTTACCTAGGTCCTGCAGGGTGAACGCAGCTGACACCAGATGCTGTAGTTTGCTCTCTGTGGTCTTGTAGAGACAGAATATGGATGGAAATGTCCTAAGCTGATGCAGAACAAGGTGGTAGGATCAACATTTGTAGCTTTGGTAGGCAAGGTCTTGGGAGCTGTAGGATGGGATCCTCTTCAGGTCTCAAGGGTAAGTTTCAGAGATGCTGGAGCTTTTGGAATCTATAGACACAACTTTAACATGTTCAAAATGGGTCTGTAATTCATATGTCTTGCTGCTGGGCTGTTTTGAACCATCAGTGGTAAGTGCATGACTGTCCCATCTGGCAGCATGGGACTGACCCATTAGGTGGTACAAGCTGCCTAAAGGAACAGTCATGCATGCACCTCTGGTAGGTCAAGTTGGCAGGAACATGTTAAGGCTGTGGGCCGGAGAGGAGAACTTCCCTGGCTCCTACACAGTGGGTACAGGTGGTGCTTGGCTTGTAGCCCTGGTATCTATATTCCTGGAGCTGCAGAATGTGGATGGAAAATTTCCCAGGGCCCAAGGAACAGACGTGGAAGATGCCACGGCTTTGAGCACCAACAACTGTAGTCCCAAGGCCACGACAGGGGAGGAGACACTTCCTGTTTCTGTGGGGCAACTGCATGACAGGTGTGGGTTTGTAGCTCTGGCCACTGCTGGTCCTAAAGCTGCAGGATGCTGGAGGGCCTGTTCTCTGCCCATAAAGGTACTCACCAGGCCAAGGCTTGTGATGGTGTTGAGGGACTGGCTGCTGGCCCCTAAGGTAGGATGAAATCTTGCCATGGTTTTTGTAGCTGCTTAGCTTCTGGGAGCTGGGGCATTCACACTGTGAGTTTCTTCTGTGGAGCATAGCAGTTGCCCTGAGACCAGCCAGTTCCCCAACCTGGACTGAAAGATGGAGGACTATAGAATTCTCCTGTAGTTAGAGCTGCCTCTGGCTGCTGTGATGGGGGTTGCAGACATTTTCAGGCTTACCTTTTACTGGCGGTGTGGAATACTGCCTTTATCCCGCGCCTCATGAGGGGTTGAAGAGACAGTTTGCTTTGGTCTTTTCTCCAGGTTGCTTTTCTAACTCTCCATGCTGTTTAGGGTTTCTGTCACTTCCTTACTGGTTGTCAGAATTCTCCCTCAGTCACTCTCCTTAAACTACAGTTTTTCTTTCTTTGTTGCCCTGGTTTTTCTCTGTGGCACAGGCATGTGTTGGGCTCCTCTAGCCATCTTGGATCCTGACTGGCCCACCCAGCCAAGCACTGAAGGTGGAACCCAGGGCCTCACGCAGGCTCAGCAAGTGCTCTGCCCCTGAGTGAATTTAAAGGTTGACTGTATGTTACCTTCCAGTGCTCAGTAAAGTTATGTTCCTCTGACTGCTAAAGTCTTTTCAATTTTTTTCAAATGAAGAATATCTCTTTATTGTGTTAGGTGGAAGAAAGTTTTCTTTTTTTTTACTGTTTCTTTTAAATCACCAATTATAATCTAAAAATAAGGGGTTTTTTTTGTGTCCATGACATAGGTGCCACATGAGGAATCCCTGAGTCATAATGGGATCTGGAATACATAAAAAATGATGACTCTTGACAGTCACCTTAAGTATAGTGAGCTTTATTTCATGGAACAGGACCCAGTGGTTCATTTGCCTATGTGTAGATGCACTGTAACCCAAAGCTGATGGCTGCTTGGTATGAAGAAAGAAAATCCCACTTGTCTCAAGGCCCTCCCTGTTCCTTAGTGGAGTTCTGACAGCTCAAGCCTTTCAGCTATTACTTTTTGCTAATCTGGCATCTAGATGTGCTGAGATTTTGTTCCCATTCATTCACTGAGCCTCCGTTCTGGCACGGATAAATCACAGGATACAATGGCAAACATTCTAAAAACAACTGAACAGTTAAGTCCACATTTAGCTCCTCAGGATCTCAGCTGGGAATACTTGGGATCCTTGTTTAGAAATGACTCAGACTTGGGCTGGGGATGTAGCTCAGTGGTTCTGTCACCTGCCTCGCAAGTGCAAGGTCCCGAGTTCGATCCCTGGTACAAAAAAGAAAAAAGAAAAAGAAATGACTCAGACTAAAGAGCTGGACTTAGACAAGTCACCTAACTCCTGCTAACCGCAGTCTCTCTATACAAAATCAAGGTCTCAGTCTCCCTGGTCTCTTTGAGACTCTGGCTTTTATTCTAGGCTGACCTAGGGGGTTCATCACCACTGCCTTTTCAAGAAAGACCAGTTTCCAGATGAAGCAGAGAGACATAACTCATCCTTCTGAGCAACCTACTCAAAAACCAACTATCACTGTGAGGAAGCTTAAGTTCCCTGACACATTACAGAGAAACGGAGGCTGTTTAGGATTGATTACCAGAAGGCAGCCAGTGGTGACTTTCTGGGGCTTTAAATTCGTGATTTCAATGTTGGCTTACCATAGGTTTTGCTTTCAATATTAATTGGAGTCACTGCAGCTGCTCAGATAGACAGCTTGAGTTTGCCACATAGCGTGAGGGAAAGCTGGTGTTAAATTGCCTTTTTAAATTTTTTCACTTGCCTTTTGATTTGTATGTCTAAAAGCATTAAAAATTTTCTTCAACCTGAACTACAACATCTTTAGTTACTTGATTTTCTTGTAGTTTTTTATAATTCTGATGGCCCGAGGCGATCTAGTTTAATAAGATTAAAATTTTTAGATGATATCCAACCAGTTTTTGTTTTTAAGATTGCTTTGAAACTCTCAACTTTTCTGCCTTCAGAAATCTTGGAGGATGTTAAGAGAAAAAGAAGAGGGATCCTAATTGAAAGCTTGGGAATCCTGCCTTGCAAGATGGGGTTAGAAGCCTTCTACTTAAGAGGGCTGTATGAGATGGAAAAATGATCAGAGAATCAAAGATGAAGAAGAATAAAATCAGGAAGACATGGAAATTAAGGGTGACCAAATAGCAAACCGACCTTTGGAGGCTCACCGATCACTCTGTTAAAAGACTTAAAACACAGCTCATTTTGAATCTCCAGGTAAAATATTTAAAAGTAGAATTTAACAGGTCCTTTTACTTCCTCCAGATTGGACCCTGCCTCAACAGTCTCCATCTCCTGCTTTATTTTCTGTTTGACTTCGGATTTTGTTTTCAGATATGGAACCAAATGAGATGTGATATTGACCATTCACTACTGTTTCTGGGTGAGAGACTGTGCTATAATCAGGTTTACTCACTCAGGCCCAAAACATGGAGTTGAGACTGAATTATAGTCTAGTTTTTCTGGTCTCGCACACATGACAAATTTTAACACTAATGGGTCAATGATCAGGCATGTCAGGTTTTCCTGTGAAATTTGGAATCAAGGGTAGTGGACCATGAAGTAGTGTCTGTGGTAGCCGAAGCTCTTCTCTTACATCTCAAATGATTCTAAGCAAGGTTGCAGAAATAACACAGGTGGGAAAAAACAAAGAACAGAAACAAAATACCAGGAACATATGCCCTCTAAGATCACAGCCTGAGATAGTTGTCACAGGTGGCTGTTTTGTTAAGCATTCCCATCCATTTATTAAGAACAGAGTGCATGCATTCTTACCTGAACAGGTGTAGTAATGATTTGGGATACAGAAGACCAAACTCAGAAACCTGGAGTCAATCACTTAAGTGGCAGAAGATAAGCAGAGAAGGTCGCAGGTGCCGAAGGGATGAAGGGTTGCTAGGTCCCCAGAACCCACTCAGTGTGTAAGTGCCAAAGAGAAGATTAAGGATCAAAGATGCTGAACTACAAAGACAGAATTTTCCTCTTACTGGGGCACTTTCTTAATTAAAAGTATGAGGGGATCCACACAGCAGTTTCCAGCTATGTATTACAGCAACAATTGCAAAACAAACAAAACCCCAGTATCAGCAACAGCACTAGAGGCAGACAGAGCAACAACAAGAGCAGGAGCTGTCAAGCCTGCTAGCGACTCTGCTGGAAATGGGCGCATTTGGGAACTTGGGCACAGAGAAAGCAGAGACCAAGGATGGAGATTTAACTCTCCCTAAGCTTTCCTTCATGGTCCCCAAGAAAGTGATTACTACGTTGTATGTTTACAAAAGTGGCAGAATAGGTAAAGGTTAAGAGGAACACAACAGAAGAACTAGCTGTTCTCCACATGGTCACTGCTTATCTGCCCTAGCATAAGTCACTTCACTGCCTGCAATATTTGGAAGCCTTCACTGGCTCTTCCTTAGCATGGCATCAAAACTCTTCACAAAATGAGCTGAGCTTATTTCTGATTTCCAGTCATGTTCTAAATACAGTATATTATTTATACCTAAAACTTTTTCATCAGAGCCAACATGAGCTCTGTATTCATTAAATCAGTGGTCCCTAACCCTTTTTGTAACAGGATGGGTTTTGTGGAAGAAAACTTTTCCATGGTGGGTGGGGGAGGGATGGTTTGGAGCATGCACAACCCTGGGTCCCCACATATGCAGTTCACAGTAGGGGTCGTACTCCTATGAGAATCTAATGCCTCTGCTGATCTGACAGGAAGTGGAACTCATGCAGTGATGTGAGCACTGGGGAGCAGCTGTAAATACAGTTGAAGCTTTGGCTGAAGCTAATGTCCTGCTGTGCCTGGTTCCTAACAGACTGTGGACTGGTACTGATGTGTGGGTCCAGGGTTGGGGACCCTTTGCATGAAACGATAACTCACCTCTTCTCTCAGGTTCTGATAATTTCTGTTCTTTCTGTCTCTGAATTTGCATATTGTAGACCCTTCATGAAAGTAGAGTCATAATACTTGCCCTCCAGTGTCTGGCTTATTTCATTAAGTGTGTTTTCAAGGGTCACTTTTGGTTGGGGGTGTAGTTCAGTGGTATAACACATGTTTAGCATGCACAAATCCCTGTGTTCACTTCCCAGCACCAAAAGTAAAAAGTTGATCTGAATTGTAGTATCAGAATTTCATTTCTTTTTAGGACTGAATAATACTGTATTATAAGTACTTACCACATTTCTTTTCTGTGATGGTCCCTCAACGGACATTTGAGATGTTTTTTGCCTTTGGGCTATTGTGAATAATGCTGCTATGAACACTGGTGTACAGACATCTGTTTGGATCTGTTTTTAATTCTTTTTTTTCTTAAATTCTTTTACCAGTACATTTTAGGTATACAATACATTTACATTTATCATTGGGTGCTTGTACCTGTACATGATGTATCTTGGTTCTTACTTTTCTCCATTACCTGTGTGCCCTTCACCCCCTCCACCTTTCCCTATTTACATAGACTTTGTTTCCATTTTTTTTCTTTTCTCATTAATTTTTCCTTTCCCTTCTTTTCTTTCCCCTTCCCCTCCCACCACCCCTACCCCTTTGTACCTTTTCTTCCTATTTCAAATTATCAATTATTTGTTTTAATCATTGTTTAAACTTTCAGTTTCTCACACTAGAGAAACTATTCAGTGTTTACACATGTGTGTTCTATTTATTTCACTTAAGAGTATGGCCTCAATATGCATCCATTTAGCTA